CCTGCTGCTCTTTATCTACATTAAGAAGCATCCACAGACATTTCACTTACTATTTATTAATAGAAGAACTAATTAACATCTATTTCCGATGATTAATTCCTAGTGATCGGTTGTTTCGTAAGTAGTAAGTAGATTTCCCTGAAGGTTTTTATCTATGAAGAGGTATGAAACTTCTGGCACGTTGCCTGCAGATTGCAGCTAACTTTTTATTAGTTTGCCTTTGAATCACTTGTCTTTACAGTGCAAATTCTGTCCCAGGATCTCCAGGTGCATGTCCTGATGGCCAGGATAGGGAACAACTTGAAGTATTTACAAACCACCAACTTTTTGTTGTTATTCAACTGCTATTTATATCAATTAAAGCCTTCTGTATCAATTAGATGAGAATTCAGACTGGGGCCATTTAGATATAATCACCATCAGCAGCAAGAGATTAAGATGTCTAAGAGTCAAGACAACCTTTATATTACTTACTTGTTTATCCACCTCACAAGGAAAATCTAAAGATACTTGAAGGCACACCTAGTAAAGAGAGAAACACAGCCATTACAGAGAACAGAACATCATTGTTCTTCACCCTTACTAACCAAAATGTCCAGCTTTATGTCATAGTTTAGCACGTTATAATTTTGAAACCAGAAAGGTTCAACTTTATTTGCACTCTATGATCCCTTGGAATCTGAATTATTTTACAATTCTGTGATGCTTTACATTACATCACTTCTGAATGACAACAGCAGACTCCTGAATGTAGGAACATGTACTCAACAAGTTACCAAGACATCAGGTGTTTCAACCCTGAAGAAAGATCTACAGTATTTTTTCCTCAATCATCATGGCAAGTGAGTCTTGGATGATTTGTACAAGGCGTGATTGCAATGGAGGCTGAAAATTGGTGTGTGTATGGAAAAAAAAAACAATTTCTAGGGACTTTGTCACCCTCATCAAGGAAGATTATGAGTACTCAAACAAGAGAAAGCAAGGACCTAACAAAAGCTATCTTGACTGAAAGCCCTAGCAGCAGATAAACATAGGAAAAAGCTTTCAGAAACTCTTAAAGATAACAATTAGTTGAAAGCAAAATCAGATACCAAGAAAAGTATGCTTTGTTTGCAAGACTGTGTGTTCCAAGAAAACAAGGACTTTTAAAGGCATGCAGAGAAAAGAGTACTGTAACACAATGTACCCAGAGCAGAGTCCTACCTGACTGACCCTCTCAGAAAACTGACTGTTCTGCATCTTCTTGTCACTGCCACCATCTCCAGTCTGCATCACAGGCTCCTCTGTTATTTCAAGACACTACACAAAAGTATGGAATGATGTGAAAATGCAGCTCGAAAAAAAAATATTGTGATATGAAACATGCATAAATAAGTCAGTGGCATGTCTTAAAAGAAAAATAAAAAAAGCCTGTAATACAAAGTAACAAACACTGAATTAGATTTCCTCAACAAGATCAAAGAAAAATTAATATAAACCCCAGGAATGACTCATATTAAATACTGTGAAAATATCTTACTTTTATTTAACCCTTTCTGCTCAGAATTTACAGAAAATATAAAAATCACTTAACCTCTTCTGGCAAAGGACCTCTGTATCTTCAGACGTGTTCTCATTGTGCTTCTTTTCCAATTTTCAAAATTTATTTTCTTTTGCTGCACAATTTAGGCTCTTTTCCAGCATCCAAGAAATAGATGCTTTTAAAACAAAGCACATGTAGCTTGCTATACACTAAAAAGATTTACTGTAACACTGAAGGTTACAAGCTGCTGTGTCTTGCCTAAATTTGCTGATTTGTAGAAAACGGTTCCAAATCATCTTTTCCTCAGTTTTCCACAGAACCCTACAAATTTCTACAAGTTGGCAAATTTAGGCAAGACTTGCTGCTTCTCTCTCAACAGAGAATATTTTGATTTCACTTACAGCTCACCTCCTTTACTCAATTTGCTCTGCAGGTGAGGAGAGAATTTAGCCTTGCCTATGTTGGTTTAATACTGATCAGAAGGAAATATCTTATTTCCTGAGCATTACTGAATGCAGTCACCACATTCTGGCACAGCCTGTCAGACAACAACCTGACTACAAGCACAGTCTCACATCCCCTTTTTAGATCCACCATGAGTGACCTGGAGCTACCACGTTCCAACACTTCCCTGTGATAAGACCTGGTTGGATATTTAGGATATTTATACTACCTTGGTTTATAGCACCATTTCCCAATCTAATAGAAAAAGACAGTTATTTAAGATTTTTCACTGCTAAAAGCCAATTAAATAGTAGAAAGGTGTAAAAGCAGTGGTAAGTATCTGCAATGCTATGCTGAAACCCAAACCATAGGTAGGATACAGCACTGAGACAGAGGATTCAAACCTGCATTGGACAAAAATTTTGCTATTAAAGCACCTGAGGCAACAATCATGGAACAGTTTAGATTGGAAAGGATGTTAAAGATCATCTAGTTCCAGCCCCCCTGCTGTGGGCAGGGGCACCTCCCACTAGAGCAGGTTGCTCAAAGCCCCATCCAACCTGGCCTTGAACACCTCCAGGGATGGAGCAGCCACAGCTTCCCTGGGCAACCTGGGCCAGTGTCTCACCACCCTCACAGTGAAGAACTTCTTCCTAATCTCTAATCTAAGTCTACCCTCTTACAGTTTGAAGGCATTATCCCTCATCCTATCTCTACAAGGCCCTGTAGAAAGTTCCTCTCCAGCTTTCTGGCAGGCCCCTTCAGATACTGGAAGGCTGCAATAAAGTGTCCCCAGAGCCTTCTCTTCTCCAGGCTGAACAACCCCAACCCTCTCAGCCTGTGTATGGCACTGCTGTGTCTAACAGTCATAGATATTTTGGTGTGATTTGGGGCAAAGAAGAATTCCTTTAAGATAAGAAAAGCAGAATCTTGAGCATCGTTAAAGAAAATTGAGATTCTAGGTACAAAGACTCAGACAACGGCCTGAAAGGGAAGAAACTGGTGTCTGGGGTCCTGGCTGTGATGTTCACAGCTTCCAGGGATACACAGCACAGTGGCATGAAAACAGACATCTGCTCCCCCAGCACCCCATGCTGGACACTCTGGGCTCACAGCATGTCAGTCCAGTCACAGACAGACCAGATTCTGCCACGAGTCTTATTTTTGCTTCCTGAGAACACTGGGAATTGAAAGCATGTGTGGGGTTTGATTTTTTTAATTGAGTATGCATTGAATGTATGCATATATATATATATATATCTGAAATAAATGAGAAAAACCTTTTTATCTTCCAGTCCCTAGCCAAATAAGCAACTTTAATGGTTTTCAGTATGAATTTTAAAAGGCAGGAACCGGATGGTGCAGTGTATTAATATATTTGCCTTTTACTATTAGAAACCTATATTGAAAACTAAATTCCAAGTCATGTTTTAATTATTTTGGTATTTTCACTCCGATTTGGTACTCTAGGACAACACAGAGTAAAGACTCTGAAAACTGGAGGAAGGCACAGGTAGGGTTGTGGCACTGAACAAGGGCGTGCATTATAAAAAGATCTTTTCATTGTAATCATGGGATCCCAAGAATCCAATAATATTAGCTTGCATAAATAAAAAAGTTAATGTTTATTAATCTTCCATGTGTAGATTCTGGACAAACCCTGCATTTGTGTATTAAAAATAAACTTACTTGCACACACATTTTCCACCCAGTGCAACAACCTTTTATGACTCAACATTTTTAGTACAGGCTTTTCCCAGGCCAGGATTTGGTTCAGTAAGTGATGATCCTTAGAATGAAACTATTACAGAAGACCAACAGGTTATAGCACACTGTTACAACCAACTGCAGTTTGAGCCTAGTCCTACAGTTCTGTGACTGAGAGGCTGAATAGAAACTTTGTGTGCTCCAAGGAATACAATCTAATGTTCAACAAAATATTAAAAGAAAATAAGTGTCTTAAGGCCAGGAAAAAAGTCTACCAAGAATAAGCTGCCTGGTTAAAATATTTCCTTGGAGACCAAAAACCTTGAGAATGTTTTTCCTAAATGAACCACTGCTATGCTTGGTTTGCAAAGATCCCTGGAGCCCTGAAGGCTGAAATCACTGAGGCTGCTTCTCTCAGAGAAAGCAGATGTTCAGAGGACAGCACAAAAACAACCTTTTCCTTTCCTCCTTCTCCCTCCCTTCCAAATATGCAGCTAAGAAACAGAGTATTCGGGGCTGTCAGACCTTTGGGAGATGCTGAGGCACCAACCTGCAGCTTCATCTGATCTGTGCTCTGGCTTTGAGAAGGAAAAGAAAGAAGGGTGCATTTTAAGAACCTGAGGAGGATACATCTTCCTGTGCCTGTCCAAACTCCTCTTACAGTTCGTGTCATCTCAGCACTACCTGCCAACAAATTCTAGCCCAAAATACACACAAAAAAATGTAACTTGAGAGGTTTTTGACAGTGGTTAGTACTACGCAAAACAGTTGTCACAATCCATAACCCTGGAATGCAGGTTCCCATTTACTGTCGAGACTGATAAAATGGTACCTTTTAAACTTAAAAAATTTAATTACAGACCCTTTCATTTTTCGAGCTCCATAGTACCATTATCATTCTGGCACAGGTTAAAATACCATATTTAACTCTCCTGTAATTCTGAGATTTAGATTTCACAAGCTTCCCTCTGTCACTGCACATCCAGCCTCACGTAGACAGCTTAGGCAAGTAGCTTGAGATGTATTTTCTGTGCTGAGACAAACACAGGGGCTCACAGTATCTTGTCATCATCATCTCAGCCCAGGACTCCAATTCCTTTGGAATTAAGTCTGGCATCAGTGGGGGGGCAGCACCCTCTGCAGGATGATGAGGCAAATTGCTAAAAATATTAATTATAGAAAGTGCATTCACTCTGAAACAGATTGCCCACGAGCTTTTCATGCAGACCTATTACAGTAACGTGTAAATTCATTATTTTAATAAAAGCCATGGTACCCCTAAAGGTGGATCTATAATTTAAAATGAATTTCAATTAAAGGTTGCATGAGTATGTATTAAAAGTGAAAGAGTAAGAATATTTTGTGGCTTTTGAGGACTGCTCCCAGCAAATCTGCAGCACATACAGTAAAAGACATGACCCTTTTCCCAGGGTCCTGCAGAAAAATCACCAATACCACCATCCCAGCTCTTGAATTAGGCAATCCCTATGTACAACAATTCACACTATTCCTAATTTTCTGTTTGAGTTTAATTCAGAAACTTGAGACAGAAAATACTAGCACCATCATTACTGGTTTGGCATTTTTTCCTCCCTGTTCAGTATGTTGTGCACAGCAACAATACAACTGAAAGTAAAAACCACAACAAAATATAAAGACACATTTCAAGTAACACCTAAAAGGTTCACTAGAACCCACCCAAGCCTCCTGAAGAGCCTTCATCATTCACACATAAAACACATGGGGACCCCAACACCCAAAATGCTTCTCAGTGGAAATATTTTGACAAAACTACTCCTCCCCCACAGCTAAAACCAGGCTTAGCTTTGGGCAAAAGAACAGAACCCCCAGCAGTGATTGCTTTCCTGCACCTCTCAGCAGCTTACCACCCATGCTGGCCACTTCCTACATTTCTATTCCCAGTATGAAGGAACAGCCAGGCATTTAACTGACCTCAAATGCTACTCTCTTTTTTTTTTGGCTACAGTGAACCCTACTTGTTTTGCAGATGCAGAAGAGATAGGAACTCAGCTCTTGCAGAATTAGGCACAGCATGAGAACAACTCCTGAACAGCAGACAAGCAGACTCAGTAATAACTAAAATGTTATATAAGACAGTGTTTTCTTTGTACTATTAACCATTTCCTCCCCTTCCAACTGACGAAGCAAACAGATCACAGACCAAATTAATACTTTAATGTGCATGCTGCTTCCTTAAAATCAACTTGACACATCACTGAACACTGGCATTGAGCTGATTCTGTTGTGCTAACATCTTAAAGTTGTTTACATCATTAATTTAAAAAGTTATTATATAGAATTAGCAACCTAAGCCCCGAGGGTTTTATACTCATTCTGCACTGATGTAAATGACTCCACAAGGTGTATTAGATGTGAGAGTCAGACTCTCTAACACAGAAAACCTACCTCACTGTGGTTTAATATTTTTAGTGCTTCCTTCCTTTGAGAATCTGTTGTAGAAAGTCCAAGCTGTTTTTTCTTAAGTTCTTGATTAATTGACTGCAGATCCTTAACCATCAAGAGAAGGTCAGTAACCTAAATAACCAAAGAACAAGCAGCACTGGTAACATCCACACTAGTATGAAAACAAATAATGACATATAAATCTCCAGCTACATCAGAACTGAGTTGGAAGGCCTGAGTTTCTCTGTCTGCTCACAAGGCAATCTCCAGATCTATGAAAACATGATTATATATTTCTGAGTTAGTTTTCAAGAAATCTTAACTTCTAAGACTGTAGTTTCCAGGCATGTTATTAAGTTGATGTATCAAGTTTCACAACTCAATAGTAAAGAAACCTGAGGACCCTTCACACCTACAGGCTGGTTTGAGAAGAAACATTTTAGTGCAAGGGAAATTGGCATTAAGGGGCAACAGTGGCCTTCAGAAACAACCTGTTCTTCTATCTCAAACACCTTTTATAAGCCACCATCAAGCTGTGTAGTTTCAGATACAAAAGCTGGACAATCATGTTTAAAACTCCTGAACAGGCATTACTGTCACAGACTCATGTAAGTGTATCAACAAGGCAATGTTGGAAGAAAAAAGAGAAATCTTTTTATTAAACCGATCAAAATATTTGGAAAAACAAGATCAGCATTCAAGGCATACAAGCCCTTTTTCAAGTAAGAAATGGTGTATAAATGTTCTTTGTCAATAAATGCCCCTGAATCTACTGAAGGGAGTATGTTCAGAGATAAAAGTGGAATATCCCCAGAACAGGTCTGGGACACAATCTGGGGCTTTTTTTTATTGATACCTTCATTCCTTCTGATTTCTCACCTCCACATTTTGAACACCTGCCTACATTTCAGCTTGCCATGACAAAAATAAACTTTCTCTTATGTTCAGTGCCAAACAACCATATTCAGAATAATTCCTTATAAATAAGTGCATGGATCACAGGATAAGGAGTCAGAAGAACAAGTTTCTGAACTAGTTTACTGTATGACAATACTCTGTACATTTAATCTCTGTGAATTTCAGTTCTCCTTACATAGAATGGAGACAACACTAACTTACCTCAGGGTTATTTTATAACATGACATATTTACCAAGATTTGCAAGTCCTGAGATGGAGTGTGCTATGCAGAAGTATAAATTATAGACAACACCACCATCTTCAAGATTAATAAAGGTGTGCAAAGCATACTTTGTAGGATACCTTCATGCAAAAACTTTTTCTTGCAATTGGTATACTTCATGATGACTAAAATATGATATTGAGTCTGAAAATTGAATCCAGGTGTCTATACTATCATGAAAGCTTTGCAGCAACCCACCTTTCTATTTTTCAGCTGATTCTGAAGCTCAAGTGGTGTAACAAAGGCTAAATGGTTCATAAAAGGTGGATCACAAACCACAGAGATGAGAACTTCAAACCCTTTCAGAACTACCCAACTGTACCTAAATAAACCTTTTTGTGAGAGATACACAAACAATAAATGAAGCAGAATTGAGCCATTAGAAACAGTAAATAATAAAAGAGATCAATACCTTTTTCTTGAGTTCTTCAAGAGACAGATGGTCTAGCTGTAGGTTTAAATGATCTTGCTCTCCTAAACAGATACTCATATAAGATGTTTGATCTCCACAGAAAGATACTGTCTCATCTGTCAAAATAACCAAGGCCAGGAATTATTTCAGAAACTCTATTTGCAGTAAAACAGCATAAAATGCAAAGACAGGACTTTTTCTGAGTAAGGACCTACTAGTAAGTCTGTGGGAGGCCAGTTGAAATGTTTCATGCCCCAAAATAAGCTTTCTGTTTAATTGAACAAATTTTGTCCTCATATTTCTTTGTGCCTCTGACATGTAGCCATGCTGTATTTTCCGTGGCTGTATTTTCTGTGGTTATCAGCATGAGTTGTGAATGTAATTCTGAATTATAATTTGCATATTTAGCATTACAATTAGAAATAATTTTCAGGAAGGATAAGTAAGGCATGAAGAGTTATGCTGTTTTAACTATATTTTTATGAAAGTGAACTTAAGTTCTCGAGGCAAAAAGACAGGTTAGACAAAGTTAATGAATTTATTTTGCTTTTGGGTCAAAAGATTGTTTTAGTTGAATTGAAAATAGCTTATTCATTTCCTTTATAACTGCAGGAATGACTTGTTATGTTTCAATAAACACCTGTTCATTTACAATATAGATGACAGTTAATTCTATAAATACATCTCATTAGATAGGGAGAATGCATATCTAAATCAGGACAAAGAAGAGACATGCAAATGCTGCTCCCAGCTCTGACACTGATCCCATGTCTGCTGCAAGGACCCAAAGTTTCACAAATGATCATGAATTTTCAGAGCCTTTGTTCCTAGCAGCCTCACCCTCAACACAACTGCTTTTGAGAGCTCCAGAGTGGCCACAAGAGCCTTTGGCCTACCCTGGCTGTTCATCATCTGTGCTTCTGAGGTTGAAAACTCTGAAATGGCAGCAGCTTATTTTCTGTCACTTGTCATAGCTGTCAAGGGAGCAATGCTAAAATTGAAGCTCTAAGTTGAAAGGTGTAAGTGAACAGGCTTTACTGTTATTTATATACTCCCTATGGAATAAAACACATACAGCTGTACACATGCAGTAAACTGTATTTAACAATGTCCACTTACATTATGATTTTCTATATCCAAGTAAATATTCAAAACATCTCCAAAGAAGTACAATACAAAAAAAACCCTGAAGATGTTATATTTAAAAGCTCTACTATTTCTTATTTACAAAATAACAATCTGGCTATTTTTTCTTTCTGGGGAAATACTTGTTCTGTCAGGAGGAGTCTAACCATTTCCTGAGACACAAGCTCCTTCCCAAAGTATTGTGGAATAATTGCATCCCATGGTCAGGAAGCAGTACCACAGCCACAGATTTATTCAAAGCCAGGAATCTCTGACTTCTGCAGAAAACAGTAAATTCTATGGGTATAAAATTGTAGGCAGCTTGAAACGATCACTGCAGTAGAATTGCCATAGAATTACTAACATTTACTGCATGGAAAGTGAAAAGCTGTCCCTCTGTATATGCCCTGATTGCTCAGAGACATTCTGTTACAAACCCCCCCCGAATCATTTTCGGTATGGAAAGCTGAGAAGAAGCCTTTTCACACCTTTTTCTCCTCTCAAACGTTTTCTTCGCCATCACAGCAAACTGACTGTAATAAAACCAGTCTTCTTTTGTGCAAGAAGATAAGAAAAGGGATGGGCTGCCCCTCTATACAGACCTTGTCGATGTTTCATGTCCTTAATTTGATCTTCTAAGACCTTCTGTAGCCTCCGATTAGCTAAAACATCTTCTTCTAGTTGTTTTCTCAAGAGGAAGATGTTGTTTAGTTCCGTTTGCAAGCTATTTATACTAAAAAAAAAGAGAAAAATACCTTCAAGATTCAATCCAAAACATTTTGTTGTGCCCCTCCGCATCTTTTATACATCCAGGTTCCACCAAGAGCCCATTTCACTTTAGCCAGTGCTGGTTTTCGTCACCCAGTCACATCATTTTGATGCATAGGAACAAACAAAAAAGTCCCTACATAGAAGGATGAGACTCAAATTTTATATATACAGCCTTTTGTTGCTGTTTGGAGCTGTGTGCCTTGTAAGTCAGCTTAAACATGACAGATATATTCTAGCAGCCAACTTCTGTGTAGTTCTTTTTAAGGAAAATCAAAATCACTAACTTCTGAGAAATATGTCAGAAAAATACCATTATCACATAATACTGATGGCTCTGTGTATTCCATTCTATGGTGACCATGGAAACTTTGTTCCCCTGCTACAGAACTGTACCATATAATCTAATGCTCCACTTAAAAAAGTCAAAAATAGCATTTCAGTGGAAATAGGACCCAGACACAACTGTTTTATTTCTTCATTTCTCGGACAGTCTGTTAAAAGACATTTTAAGGTCAAAATTGTCTCAATTATCTCAATGGGGTGTAAATGCCCAAACTTAAAAATGATAATTTGTCAAGGTGAATTAAATCTTTAAGCAGCTTTCTCCCGAGGTGCCCACTGAAGCTCTTATTTCAGCATCAGTCCCTGCCCCCCAGGCCTCTCCTATCAGCTGTCCCTTGCTAGATTTTCCCCATACCCTTCAACAACATCAACAAGACAGCAGCTCAGATCAGCCTGTAAAAAGACTTAAGTACACTACAACCAGAGAATGTAATAAAATGAAACAAATCCAACTTAATAACAAGTATTAATAAATTATTAATCAATTTTACTCCCCCTATTACTTAATACTAACAAAGTGTTACTGAACTCATTGTATTATTTACTTTCACATTTATTTCACTCAGAACCTCAGTGGTTTAGAGTCAAATTAAGCTCCTGTAGCTTTTCCAGTGCACTGCACTAAATGCCAGAGACCTCAGGAATCTTTAAAATAAATTTAAATCCACCTTAGAGGAGACTGCATATGAACACACAGCACATCACACTTGCATAATAACAGCATATTGCAGAAACACATTAATTAAAAGGCAGCATGTATGAAAAGACTCTCAGTGTGGTGTTGTCAGTGTTTCCTGTACAAGAAACTATTGTTTTAAGCAATTCTCAGTCATTCAAGAGTACCTCTGAAGAAAGCACTCTTTAAATGCTCAGCCAAATATTAAGAATAAAACCAAACCAGCTATTACTAGAAGCTAAGTAAGCACATTTTCTCTTTTTCACAAGTTAAAGATTCTGTAAGAAAAAGCATTGATTCCCTGCTTGGAGAGACAAGAAATGTCTTGGTCCTGACATCCAGTAGCTTATTTTGAAAAATAACCATCCAGGTTGCTTAAAATAAATAATGCCTAAAAGAAGATACGTCAGCAAGAAAACAGATGTTTGCCTAAAATCCGTGTGACTGCTGACAGCAGTGACACAAATGAGGAAGCTTAAGTTATCTGCAAGGCTTGTTCATCAGCTCCCCAGAACTTTGGGGGTTCAAGTCTTCCCTGATGAGATTTACAGCACATCTTAGTCCACAAAATTAGGAGGAGGAGGAGAAAGAAGACCTGCTTCCAAATCCAGCTCTATTGTTGAACTCCTGATCCTACAGAAGTTAATGGCAAAACTCCTATTACCCTAATGATCAACTACAGTTGAAATTTTCCTTATTTGAACAATATTCTAAGAAAAACTAGTATTAGAGCTATGTTACTTTGCTGTCACTAGACAGTGTTGACAACTGCCTTACCCACAGCATGTGTTTCAATGTCAGGTCGCACCCTCCATGTGAAATATTAAAATTAACTGGCTTCTTCCTTCACTTTGTGATTGTTCAACAGAAAAGTCACAAAAGCTATTGCTCTTTTCCCAGAGATAAGAAATAAGAATAAGAAATCTCCATAATCTGACTTTTATCACTATTTCTAATGAGAAAGAGTCTCCTAGCTAAAATAGCTTTAAAGCTGTGGCCAAGCACAAGTTGGCATTACTATTAATGCACTTAATTCAAATGCCTGATCTCATCTACTCTAGTGCTATTCACTTTATGGTTTCCAAACTATAGTGGTCTATAAACCAACTGCAAAACACAAACACCCGTTCCCACAAAGCTGTTGCCTTCAGGCAGGAAGAGTCAGGAGTTAGCCCTCAAATGCTGTCAAAACCTAATTAAAGTGTTGGTAATTATAACAGTAAAAGTTAGTCTTTTTTATAAAGCATTTAAATTTATTTTTACCTACTAGCTTAGAATTTTCTTAGTTCTATCATAATGTCTCCTTCTCAACTGCCAGGCACTAATAGGATACAAAGTAGGTCACAGATTTCCTTCTAGAATGTTGTGTTCTCTGATTTTAAAAGGTTAAAGCCCTTTGCTCCTGCTGTATTTGTGAATGCCTTACATCGAAAACACACTATGCAAACCTCAATTATTCTGTTTTGTTTAACCTTCTCCAAAATCAGATAAGTATTATCTGTACTTCAGGAGTAAACCACAGCAAATTCTCCAGCACCCAGAAGCTCCCTGCGATTCGATTCTTCCCCTGTATTCCAACACAGGACACGTAACTCCTGGAAAACTTGCTGCTTATGTTGGCACTTAAACAAAAATGTCTCATCTCAGATTCCAATCCAAACAAGTATTTTCTACATTTAAGTAATTTACATAATATAACCTCATTTACAAAAATATTTCTCATTTAAGGAGACTATGACAGCTAGTTTATGCCTCATGAATAATGGGGCCAGCACAAAATTACCACCACTCCAGTTAAGCTGCAGTTTTTCCCCATAACTTCTGACATTTTACCTTTGAGTTAATAATCTATTAGCCACCAAAATAGAATAAGTACATACCTATCCGATTCTTTGAAGGTCTTCACTAGTGTGGAATAGATATTTTGCTCTTTTCTTAAAGCAAGGATCAGCTTTTCATACTCAGCTTCTTTATTTTCCTGAATGAAAACAAAAGCACACTAGCCTTACAATGTAACTTTGACATTTGTATGTCTACAACTATATGTGTATCTTGAAGAAAACTTGAAAGAAGCAGAAATTCAAACTTGCTGAACAGGACTGCCCACCTCCAAAGCCCAATATGAATCTGAACACTATCCAGGATACTTCACACCAGCTGTTATTACAGGATGCAAACACTGTTTCCCTATTCACCTGCCATGAGTCACACATCTAAACAGCAGTTCATCATTTTTATCATGTTTTAAAAAGCTTTTCCTCCCAAGCCAAGCATCCTCACCTCCAAAGTTTACAACTCAGCAACCCAGGAACAACCAGGTTGTAGCTATTTCAGAGGAGGGGAAGGGAGGAAAGGGAGGGCAGCCAAGCCCAAGTTCCAAGCACACATTTTAAAGCATTGTCCTAACAGTCCTCTCCGTGTTGTCGATAAAATTGGCTTTCAGGGGTTGCTGCAAATCCTGCTCCACTGCTGAACAAAGGACTGTATCCAGTCGACAAATAAAGGCTGAAGGTGTCAGGCACTGTGAGCCAGCTTTCTGCACGCCCAGCTGGGCCACCACAAGCTGCTGCTCCACTTGGGCAAAGAAAAGAAAATTGTTTACCTGCAGTCTTGCTCACAGAAAGTACACTATTATTAGAATAAATCCAGACTCGTATGCTACATTCTCAGTAAGGATCCACTAATTTCCAAGACTTTTTTTCCATCCAAAACAACCACGCAGTCAGTTTTTCAGCAGTAGTCAAAAAATACATCTATTTAAAGGAGCAGTTGCTTGCACTAATTACTTAAAACTTTCTAGAGCCATCTTAGAAAAGAAAATAACTGGGATATGAAAATAACTATAGCAAATTCAGATGTATTGATGTCAGACACGTATATCCTGCCTCTCCTTGACAAGAACAATAGGCCTTGCTCTCAGTTTTCTTTTTTCAACTGAAAACTGAAAGGAAGAACCAAAAAAGTGCCACAGCTATGGGGGAATCTCAGCTAAGGGAACTCTCCAGAGATACTGAATCATTAGTGAACAACTCATTAACAAGGAAGAAATCTACACCTAGTAGTTTTAAGCAGCTGTTATTACTCCAACTGCAATTCCTAAGGAAGGAATTGCAACAAAATTCAGCTACAGTAGAATCTCGTTAATTCACACTAATGAAGCAAAGTCTTTGTTAATTTGAAAAATTCAGTATTCTGCAAAGTAAACAGTACAAAAGCAAGGACAACTGTTGTTTACTTTTAATTATTTACACTCCTACTTCACAGTACGCTAGCAAATATGTTAAATAATATTTTGCAAGTCTAATCAAGTTTTGATCAAATTACTCCCGTTAAGGTAATCTGCATGTCAGATCTTACTGCAGAAAGAGAAGCTTCTGCCACCTAAAGCTGCAGACACTTTGCAGAAGTGACCTTGCCCTTGTACACATGCATCATGTTCAGCTACCATCACTCCTAAGGGTGGCTTTCTTCTAACAAATGTTCCCAGGCTCTAGTGCAGTTTATACATTAAACACTATTCTGTATATGAAGTGGAAACTACTTAGTTTCATATCAAGACTATTATCTAGATTAAGAGAAGTACAAAGAGATGGCTTGTGCTGGCAGTACTGAGAAACAAAGGCAAACAGATGGAGGTGGGTGATCCAGAGTCCATTAATAATAATAATAAAAAATCACAAAAAAAAACACATGTAAAGAAGCACATCTTACAGCCTGAACTAAAGAGTCTAATCATTGTTTTGGAATCTCAGCCTTTCAACAACTAAACAAAAAAATAAATACACAGATTGCAATTTAACTTGGAAAAAGTTTGATCACAATGACACTGATCAATGACGTAGAAAGCAACAGGAAGAAATAAATCTTTTGACTTAATTTAGTTGGTTAACAGTCTGTTAAAAGTTCTGGTGAACTCTTCCATATGTCTGATACAAGCCTTGCAATTATTACTGAAGATGCTACAGAGCTATATCCTAATTAAAAGCTCTTCCTGAAGCACTGGCAAAGTCTTGTCACTCTGACGAGTTTATGATACACAGATTAGAAAACTGTTGCCATCAATTGTTCAGTGGATGACTGCTGTAGTAACAAAGCAGTGCTGTACACAAAACCAAGCTGCACTTTCCTGTCTTTCTCTCAGAATTTACATGTTAATTTAGTCCTACATTTGCACCAAAATCTCAGTAAGCTCATGAAATCCTCCCAACTCTTTTTTTCTCTGCATAACAAGAGACATGAGCTGTTTCTTAATTCCAAATGTCACAGGTTAGACACAAATTCTTAATTTCTAAATTCAGCTAGCTAGGTAGAGGTTAGCAAAATCATGAAGAAGTGTTCTTGGTTTTTCTGAGTATTTCATGGATAATAAGGATGAGGAGATACAGCATGAACTTTTTTTTTTACTATTATTACTGTCATTTCTAAATAAGGCGTAGGAGTGAATTATTCCAATCAACTCCCCAACGGTACACAAAACATAAGGCAGCTCTGTAACTTAAATAGACCATAATGCTGTGGGAGTTAATGAAACATTAAACCTCTTGACACATGGTGTGAGGGAAAATGTGTTAAAGGAGATAGCTGCAAGACATCCAGGACCATATTGCAGTGAAAGATTTATACCCCCATGAAAGGAGGCAATCTAATACATTAAAGTCTATATTTAAGTTTGAAATACTATTGCTAAGCAGCAGTGGTGGAAAACATAACTTACTTTCATTAAAGGTTTCTCAAATTGTAAGCAATGAAAGTAAAAGGTTTATACCTCCACAATAAATAACTTATTGGCAAAGTCACAAGAATATCCAGTTGCCTCACTGAATACTCTCTTGGTTATATTTCAAAGGATTTCAGGATCATTTCAAAGCCTCTGAAGGTCAGAGGATGGATGACTGACCTGCACCTCATCACTGATCCATCCATCCAATACCAGATTTTGGTAACTTCTGCTGACATTGCAGTAAACTTTATCCAGGGTCTACCATAAAGGAAACAATCCCTAACCAGACTAAAATTGTTAGAGGCCACCGAGTCATATCTGAAGACAAAAATTACTACAGTAACAGACTTTGTTGGTGCCTTTTGGAAGACATCATCTCAACCACAGAAAATGCCACAAAGCTGTTGCCTCTGAGGAACTTAGGGCCCTTCTTGGTGGTATGTGAGGCCAGACAAGAGGACTATACACCAATCTCTAAATATCACTCCACCAGGCTAACTCCTTCAAGGTTAAATTTCTGGATGCATGAAAATGGTGACTCACACCAACCACATTCATTCCCATCACCAGCACGTGCTCAGTGTCACAGGCAGAAAGCATCATGTTTAAAGTGCATGAAGACATGGATATTGGCAAAAAAGAGACTGCTGTTTTCAGCTGTAAGCTAACCTCACCAAATCAGAAATGGAACCTTCACCCTGCTTATGTCTTCACAACATCAGTATCAAGAGACCAAAAGCAAGAGATAGAATGCACTGACCACTGATAGACAGGACACTTGTAGGTGTCCTACAGGTAGGAAATGCAGTTGGTATCAGCCAGCTCCATTTCCTACCCCACTCTCAAGTGATATATAAGCTCCTCTCCCAAAATCAGACATCACAGAGAGGCTACAGAGCAGCAAATTATTTATTTTTTTTACACTTAAAGAAATTAATTTATAATTACAACTCCCATCACTGCAGCCCCTTACTGCAGTATATGCTGTGTGCAAGATTACACGTGCAACAAAACAGAGCCCAGATGAAGGACTGAGCAAGAGCCACTTTTCTCAATTTTGCTGCTTTTCTCAGTAATAAAATAAACCACAGAGTTCTGAAAAGCCCATGTTAGAAATCTGTTTACCTAACAAATGCTCCAGCAGAAAGAGTTTTGTTAAGTACAGGAGTATTGGCTATGAGAGAACAGCACTAAGCATAAACCCAACTAAAGTTTCCAAAATTAGATGGAATCCATTGCACTTCTAAATTTCCTTGGCTGCAAAATGTATTTCATTCTGAGACTTCATAGATACCAGAGTCAGCAGTTGCATGACTAACCTAATTATCAGTGCCCTTGCACACTCTCTAGCCCATGACAGTGGCTCAAGAATCCAAACTCTAATTAGAAACTGTCATTTATCTTCCCTGGCCTGGCCAAGGCACCCAGCAGAGCTTTGGATGTTGGTTGCTTTAAAATTTATCATTACATTAAAATAAACTAAAAAGCTATGATGAAAGAGAGAAAGTTCTGCATCTCTCAATTCTGTTTCTTCAACTTGAAAGCTCAGAGAGGCTGGGAGAGCTTGGTTTCTGTTCTCTCTGGTGGGGAGGATCCAGCTGTGCGTTTGTGGAGAGTTGGTGCAGCACTGTAAAGTCATCAAAGAGTCCGAGGCAGGCAATGAGAGCAGAGCTCCAGCTAATCCCTGACCAAAAATGTGTGATTAATATGCCAAGGCAGGTTCTTGCAGGAGCTATCTCACACAGGGGTTGAGCAGGGAGGACAATGGGTGGTGATGAGGTATTGTTCACAACCACTAAGTGAAGCAGCAACAGAGAATAGGCTGTGATTAGATGGTGGGTCCTGGGTCATTACCATGCATGGCTTTGCTTGCCACTGTTCCCTCTCCTCGTTATGCACCTGTATTAGGAGTGGGGTGTACAGAGGAAAGCTACTGCTTGATTTTCATTAATTCTGTATGATTTTCCATCACTCTTGGGTCCCTTTGTGACACAAGTTACGTGCGTGCACTGCAGTTTGTTTTACAGAAGTAGAATTTCTGCTCAGCCTGTCACAGACTTTATTTCCTCTGCATGTATATTCATACATACATTGATACACCCTGTGCTGGTACCCTGGCAAACAGTGACACAGCCCCTTTACTCTGAGCTTGCCAAATAACCCGTGACTCAACCTGTGCCTGCATCAACCTTGTTTAATAATAGTGCCCATGCCATAACAACAGTGCCCGTGCCATGTTAAGCATCTCATAACTAGGATGTTTGGACAGGAACAAAAGACTCATTCATGTTTCCTTTGCCACTAGCTCACTTTATTTCAAGCTTCCTTGAGAAAAACCCACTAATGGCTGTTACATTATTACAGAAATTAAATAGCTTTCTCCATCATTAGGACGTACCAATCTGATTCTTTTCACTCTGGCTGATGCTTTTGGAGACTTTAACATACTAGGCTGCAAACAACACAAAAATAGACAAGAAATGTACCTCCAAAAGCAACTTATTCAATAATCTTTATGCAATAAAAAAAACACACCAATGGAATCAGTAAGTGATTCAAAAACTTAACAGTAGCTGATATTTTTTGCTAGTACCAAAGGGGGGGGATGAAGGGGGAGGGAACTCTACATTTTAAGACTCTGAATTTTGACCTCTGATTTCAGATACTAACAAGTCTTTTCAATTTATGGCATCAAATAAAATAATGGGCATATATTGCCCAACTTTTTTAAAAAAGAAAAAAATTATTTCTGTACTATTTCCTTTCTTCTTTGATTTAAAGTAGTTTTCTTCATGCCCAAGATATATCTTCAGTCCTACCTATATTTTTTATCCCCACACTCCATTTCTCTACTGTGGTCACTAGCTCTGTACAATCTTTCTCCTTATCTATCAGAAGTACACAAACTCTCCTCTGCCCATCTCCCAGAAACACAGGTATCTCCCACTCAGGGAAACAGGCCTACCTTAATCACCACAAAACTCTACCCCTTCATGGCAGGCAAAACCTTTTACACACTTTCTGAGAGTAAAGAGTTTAGTGATGCCATATAAACCCATCAGCATACAACACTATGTAATCTCATGAGGCCAGATCTATGCCACCACAGTCATAGGACACAATTATCAATAAAGCCATTGTTATCTTTTTAATAATTCAGAACATTTTGATATGCTACTGCTCTGAAGGTAGAACAACACCTTGCTGCACTGGTGAACTATGACATATATGAATCCACACCTTCGAAGCCACAGTCAAAATTCTCTTCAATCTGAAGTCAAGGTTTCTATCTGCAAATAATCAGAGTTATGAAAAACTCACCTCCAGCTCTCTGACTATGCTGATGATGGACTGTTGAGACTGTGCAGCACATTTTTCCTTTACTAAGCCTTCATTTTTCAATTCAAGTTCCTCATTGGCTCTCAGAAGGTTCTTGTACTTATTCAGGAGCTCTTGCAATTCTGCATCCTTTTCTTTAACTGTTCCATCAAGTTTCTAACAAAAGAAAACAAGGAGTTTTACAGATTTACTCTAGTTTTATATTGCAACACAGACAAAGAAAATTCAGGAGAATATCCAAGGATGATCTGGTACATATCCTTTAGACACTTTGCATAAGAAAAGATCAATTTAACATAATAGAAGAAAAGAAAAGATTGAACAGAACCTCTCCCTATTTATCCAGTCTTTTAAGTATTAGAAAATAAGCCAAGGCATGCACCTTGGTCTCCAGGTATACAGCAAACTCAACTACTCCTCTTTGCCTTGCTGGTTAAGTATCATCAGTACTTTCCAGAGTTGTACCACCAGCTGGAAAAAAAAAAATTAGCAGTGGTCCATTAAGATTCAGGCAGCTCCCTTCTCACAGACATCACTTTGAATAGGCTCCAAAAAGGAAGACAGAATATTTCATATCTATACCTATCCTCAGCTTCTAGTTTCTGCACAATAAACTGAAAAACTTAGGCACTTCTGAGCTTTTGAAGTGTCTTACTGCAAGTGAAAATTTTACATAAGTATTAGTACAGCTTTCTTCCTCCTTTATCCACACACTTCATAAATCCTAACAAGAGATCTTGTTGAATGCCACACACTCCATAGCTGTGTCTGTTCTGCCAATACACTACTATGAAAAGTGAAGAATTATCATCAAAATCAACAGTAATCCCAAATAAATTTTATTTTTCTAATTCTTCATACAAAAATCAAATTATCACTTTCCATTTTTCATTTCAACTGCAATCTACCTACCTGAAGCAGCAGATCCTTTTGACTGACATCACCTGTTAGCTGGTTGATCACTAGTTCTTGGCTCTGTAACCTCTGATTGCTTTCACTCAGAAGAACACTGTAATGATGTTCAACTGCTTTTTCTTTCTCAGTCATTTCCCCATGTAATTTCTCTAGTTGATTTCTAAGGTCCTACCAAAAAAAAAAAAACAAAGAATGTTTAGCAAATCAACTTCAAAAACATTTAAGCCTAACAACCAATTATTAGCTTAACTTTCCATTGCTTTAAATTACTCATATCACTAAACAGTCTGGAGAATGCATTTAAGCCAGTATCATTCTCTTGGCATCAATGAAGAGAATTAAAGAAAGAAAACTGTTAGATGCGATGTCAGAATTGTCTTCTAAGAATCTAGGTTCTTATTATTTAAATGCTTCCCATACAGAATGCCTGGCCTCCAAGGCTGTGGGGAATATCATGCAGGTAGATGTTTTCACTGTCAGAATGAACACACTCCTGAGTCAATTTACTCCTTGCCAGGGACAGAGGGAGCTGGTTACTGGTGATTCAGTTTGTCATTTGCTCTTTTTCTCATCACATCATGGAAATTCTTGCACTAACATCCTATTACCAGTTACTTCTGCATCAAACAAAAGGTCAGAAATGTGAAAATGTTTTCTTTTGACAAGAACACAGACTTCAAACGTCCAGTCGGGTCAGTCTCAGGATCAGAAGTTGTGGACAGAACCTGATCTAGTGGCTGTGTTCGTTACCTCCTGCAGCTCTGACGTTAGTTGCATCACCTCCACATCTTAGCTCCTCATCAGAGACACATATATTTCTTGAGCATTTTACTTCTAAACCACAATTTCTTTCAATAGCCTTATGCAGTAGGAAGTCCAAAGGGCTCAGAGACCCGTTAGGATCAACACAGACTATTGCAACACAAACAGCACTAACTCCTAGTTTGCAGGTCACACACACCAACTACAGCTCTCTGCATCCCTACAGATCCCTCTCCACTTCACTTGAAAATCCACCATCTGAGAATGTAGCTCTCTCTGGGGTTTCTAAGTCTGACCACATGACAAAGCCTTGGGTTCCAAGCAGGAATATCAAACGATTTCTATTTTGAGACAATCACTAAAACTGATGGAAATATATATGAAATTATTAGCATGTAATCAATAGTCTGTTCCCAGTTAGTGGAAAATATGCAATAGTACAGAGCAGAAGAAAAATCCATAATGTTTCTTCTCTATCCTTCCAACCTCACTCCCACCAGCACCATTTATGTCACCTCATACTCTTACACTGATTTGTTGGAAGTTTCAGCACTGCCAATTAAAGGCATAGCCAGCCTCATTTTGTGAACTTTTACTGCACAAGAAGATTTAGAGCATTTACTGCATGGACTGCATGGAAAAAGAGAGGTAGAAACTTGTAACAAAGGAGCTATTCTCTGAAATTAAACAATTAAAATGTACAGAAGACTTCTATCTGAACTTCTCTTCAGCCACAAAGAACTAGGTAACACAGGCTACATCTTAAAATAAATGTTCTCGATTTATTCCCAAAAAGGGCCCATTTTATGAAGTATCATAAGCCCTTTAAATAGTTTGCACATATGGTAGTCACCTATAAACTTTACATTTACCTCCACTGGGATTTAGAATTCAATAGTTGTTTCTTATTCCAAGTACAAAGAAATAGTACTAGTGACACTTTAATTGCACTCTCTTTACAAACTGTTTTATGTCCTTTTCTTGACTTAATTACCTTGCTCCATACAGGTTCACATCAAATCCTTAACATCATTTTACTGCTTCAGTGTTTTACTTCTGTTTATTTTGCACATTAAACACAAATTGTCATTTACAATGCCTCTTGGTTTACTCAATTTTAGCTTCATTACCAAAATTCAGGTAAGAAATCCCTAACAGCTCCCCAAAAAACTCTAATGTTCTCCCATTTCAAAGAATGATTAAGCTTAGACCTTCAGTTCTGCAAACAAAAATCATTTTTTCAGGACCAAAACAAGTACCTGCTTGACTAAGAGAAGTGAAGAACTGTAGAATCAGACCCAAGCTTTGTCTATACCCACAAAGTCTCAAATACATTTTTATTTCTTATTAACTACAAATATAAACTGCAATGTAGTGCAGCTCTTTTGGAAGCAGTGTAAGGTTTGGGAACTGCAAAGTCTTTCAGCTTCAAGCTACAGAACTCAAGTAGGTCACATTAAGCCTATTCTTATACAACACATGAATTGGAAGCAAAGGATCAATTGCAATGTTATGATTTTCACTGCAATGCAAAGTTCACTCCTTGGCTTTCTATTTTTATAATTTTTTTATATATTATAACAGTTCTGAGGGGCTTTTAGTGAATACATTATCCATTAGGTAACTAAATGTCAAAGGAACATTTTTAACCCACCCTATAACTTCAAGTGACCAATACTCTGTGATGTCTCTTTATGGAAACCATAAATGGCTTTAAGATCACAGAAATGCAGACAGAAGAAATGTTGCTGCAATGACAGCACTACACCCCCTCTTATCTAATCTCAATCATCTTCAGGTATAGCCCTTGTCAGGTACAGAAACTATGCTTCTGTCTTTAAAGCAGCACAAAAATTATAGCTGTGGTTTATGGAAAGAGGGGGACTGACAAGGCAAAAAGCTGCAGAAAAAATGAAAAAAATTGCAAGAGATGTGCAATTTCCAGATATTTTGCCTCTACTATTTCTGCCCCCAGAGTTCCCTAAACAAGCTAGAGCTGAGACTGGAAATTATCTTCTTTGCATGAGCTAGAATTCTGTAACACTCAAACCCCTCCATTGCTAGAGCAGGTTGTTAAACTCATCGACCACTCTGATTGTCTGGCACAAAAATCTGCTTTCTATACATTGAGCTGCAAGAATATAGAGCCTACAGTTCTCAGAGCCTAAACTTTGCAATTCCCTCTGCCAACCTTTTTCCCAAGAGACTTTCCTACGATTAATGGTAGTGGAACTAAGAAAAATAAATGTGGAACACTAAAATGTAGAAGACTGGAGCAGATGCATCCCCCTCCTTGTCAGATGGAAAACAGGTTGGTGAATAATGAAGTTGTGAAGCTCCAAAACCTCCCCTTCAGGCTAAACTACAGGTATAAGACTAAATAATAATTCTGCCTAACGAGTTATTCTGCATTTCCCCAACCAACTGATCAAATATGAATACCTAGTAATTACACTCCAATTGACTACATTTAGGCCTAGAGAGAGAATGGATGCTTAAAGTGTTTAATCATGTAAATTTGAATAAACTCTTCGACCAAGAAGCACTGAACCTGTTATAGGCACAGTAACGTGGTGGACATAAGCAATATTCAGGATGAGTTAATGTTTATTCCTCATCAACTGTAGGTAAGAATTATATGCCCAATGTTTTGTTTCATAGAGCTTAAAGTGGTGCTGAACTACTGACTGCTTAACAGCAGCTTCTGGACAGCACAGAGGAGTTTTTTCAGTAAAGCTGACCTAGTAAAAGCTAGGACACCAATCCACCCTGAGGCAGGGACACTGTTCACAAACACCTACACACTGCTCCAGAAGACTCCTCATACTGGGCAGTCTGGGATTTGGATGATCAGCTCACATGTACCAGTCTTAACAGAGCTTAACCTTCTTCTATTCCAGGGCAGTAATGCCCAAATCATCTCTTGACAAATTGAGTTTACAAGAGGGCAGAAGTACTTTTTCTGGATCAGTAAGGTGTTTGGCTTGGGGTTTGTTTGCTTGTTTTAAACTAGATATATGCAAAGATTTGGATTACCCCAATTGCAGTGTACAAAAACCCATTGAAAATTTCCCTGTGAGTGAAGAGCTGAAACAGTTCATTACAGATGTTCAGTGCTTTTTCTACAGCTTATGTACATTCTCACTCATTTTATTTTAACAAAATAGAAACACTGATATATAGGTGTCTTGGAGTATAAATAGAAATTTTAAGGTTGCCTCATAAACAGCTCACATCAGATCATTGAAGTGGTTTTCCATTTGTCAAAGAGCAAAATATCACAGCATATTCCTTCCCTCCCACATATCTACTACTTAATGGGCAACATTTCACAGGCAATGTTGCTGTATCCAAATGCACTAGCAACTTGGAAATTGAAGCAGCTGTTCTGCAAGGAGTAGGAAATAGGTTAGGGATATAATTTTTATAAGACTGCTCATCTTTTGTATGCCTTCCCCAAGGAGCTAGTCATTTACATGAAAAACTTGGACATAATGGAGTCAAATAGGCTTCTACAGCACAAGTAACTTTGAATCCCCTGGCAACTCCCTGCTCAGCCCTATTTTTCCTGTCTTTCCTATACAGAGTTATATTCTAGCTCCCCTGAAAGATGAAAAAAGTTCTGAATAGAGAAGACGGTTAAATATAAAATATTAAATCAATAAAATATGTTCTTTGTGGCTGTTTTACTGACAGGAGCGATCTGTTCTCTCTCTCCTTAACCTCAACACCCTGAAGAAATTTCAAAGCACACCAAAGATAGAGACTTTGTGACAGCAGCCTAACCACAGTTGACAATCAACCAAAAATGCAAGTTAAATTGAGGGCAGGAGAGAGGGAGAACAACTTGTTTGTAGGCAAAGAGAACCATCTACTGGTTTTAAGTGATAATGCAGGTACAAAAATGTCTTATCTATACCTGCTTTATTAAGGTTTTTATTTAATAACTGAACCAAAACATCCACTGGAGGAAGACAAGCTCATTTAATCTTGCATGTGATTTAATATTGCAGGATACTAATCCCCAACTGAAGGGGACCAGACACTGCACACAGGCAGGAATCTACTCGTTAGGAAATGCTGCCCTAATGGAAGCAGTGGTGAGAAGACTTTAGAAAAATCCACATGATAAGACCCAGGTTACAAGTATGTTTTCTGTCAAACACTGAGCAGAAGCTGCATCCTTTTTTCAAAGGAAGAGAAGAATCCTGGTAAGTCACTCTGTTGCATGAGCTGCTTGTGCTGGAAGCAGAAGTTTTTTATCTAAGTGCCTACAGCAAGGTAAAAAAAACCCTGAATATGAGGCAAAGCTAATGAACAGACACAGCACATCATTTTTATGTTAAGTTGTGATCAACTAATCCTCTGCTTTGGGAAATTTCCAAGCACAAATTAGTAAATATACAGCTTTTACAGTGACCCTGCTATGATAGCCAAACAATCTGAAGGTTTTGACTTTTTTTTTTTTGGTTGGTTTTTGAAACAGGTTAGGACAACTGGCTACTTACTCCTGTTCTGCATTAGAACTTGGAAGAACATAAATTTAAGGAGTGTAATTTAAGATAACACAAACATGAAACAAGACAAATACAGCAGAAATATAAAACATACATTCTTGTGCATGTTCAGATTCTCAAGAAATCTGAACATCAAGATTCAAAACACATCAAGAAAACTGCAACCAATAGTAACCATTTACCACTTTTAAGGCTAATGATTTTTTTCTAGGACCTAAGACTATCAAAATGATGCTTATTTTAAAACATTTTTCTGTGTAGACTAGATGCCAGAATTTTCCTTCATTTCCATGGCCACATTCTTTTGAACACTGGCTTTTAGGCAAATGCCCACCTTTCCAAAAACTATTCCAATTAGAAAAAAATACATTTCTTAGAAAAAGACATGCTAGAAGTGCTAAATTATTTTAAAACTTTATGAAATAAAGGAAAAAAGTGATAATAACATTAATGGTTTTGTCACTTCTGCTCTTCTGTAGTTGTGCTTCATCCAGCTCCTTCTCCATTTTCTCCCTTTCTAAATTCAAATCATTCAGCTCTTGATCAGTCCTTTTAATCCTCCTTTGTAGCTTTCTGTTCTCAGCATCCTTTGTAAGGTTTTCTGAACGCAGCTCTGCCAAGAGGGTCTCTTTTTCCATCAGGAGAGCCTGATAATCCTCAGCACCCTGAAACACAATGCAGTATTCAGGTTTTAGAAGGGTATGTGGTAGAGACTGGAAGACTTCACTCCTGTTGCATCCACACCCACTCTAGTCCACCTCTTTCCAGTGCTGCAAAACTGTGGTGCAAAAGTCACAGGGAAATGGCAGGTACACAACAGGGAAAACACTGCACTGAATATTTTCTCAGCTAATGCAGCACAGCTTTAATGGCACCCAGTGCAGGATAACTAACAGATAAAGGTTGCCCTGCAAAGGAGTCCACAGTGCAAGTGGGACCATATTATTACTATTGGTTCCCAAAGCTCTTATTACACAAGCTTTCTACTTTTGGGTCAGTTTGAATCCAGTCTAGGGTAACTAGCTTCCAAGTCAGCTTATTTTTCATGTGAAAGAGCAAGTCTGATTTGTGTTCTTCCCCATCACATGCTGTTACAACTGGCCTCAAACGTTCACAACCCACGATGACAGGAGTAGTGGGCTATACACCATGGTCTACTCACAGAGAGCTGCCTTCAACTCAAGTTTGTAGCTAAGTAGCAGAGTATTGAGAAGGGCTTGCTCTGTCACCCACCATGCAATATGGATTCTGTGGACAGGAGGGATTAGTTGCACATTTTTTAAACCTAGAACTTTTCAAAAATAATCAAGCTTTAAAAGATTACAAAGTCAAAATTAGAGTAATATTTCAAAGCAGGACTGCCATGGTATGAAAAAGCAAACATAAGCTATAGATTCACACACAGGCCAAAAGGAGCTGAAGAAGAGCAGGATATACTTTGATCAATAGAAAAGACAAAAATTTGGGCTTAAATTCAATACACTGCTTTTGAAGAAATGTAGGTGCTCTGTGAGAACTAAACATGATTACTCCACTAGACTCTGAAATCACAAAGCAGTACACTCAGTCACTTCAGGGGTACTTCAGAGGCAAACCTCTCAACCTCTTCCACTCCTGCTGAGCGACGAGATCCCGTGGATGAACAAACATCACAAAGGAAGATTCATCACTGCCTCTAATCACTCTTAGTCAGCTTTACCAGACTTCATTTTAGGTAAGTTTAAAGACATTAAAAGAGATATTGTTTCTTCACTGTGAGGGTGGTAAGATATTGACATTGTTCAAGGCCAGGCTAGATGGGCTTTGAGCAACCTGTCCCTCCCCATGGCAGGGGGGTTGGAACTAGATGGTCTCTAAAGGTCCTTTCCAACCCAAACTATTCTATGTTGTCTCCTTTGATATCAAGTTCTTACTTTATCCCATTTTACATTTTAAGAGCTTTATAATACATAAATCACCATCATAAAGTCCCTTCTCCACACACGACAGGATTACTAAATCCCATTTCCACAAATAACATTCCACTGTTTCATAAACAGTGGTTTCACATTTATTATATAAATAAATCCAAACAAGTGTCTCATACCCAGTTCAACACAAGGAATGTGCTGCTACCACACTTTTGGAAGAAAACCCAAAACATTCTTTGGTCAACAAAGAACACTCAATATCACCTCAGCTCCACAACTATTTGTGTCTTTATTTTTAACTCCTTTTGCTTTTACTCATTTCTCCCTTAATTCTCAGTTGTTAGAAGAAAAAGGTTCAAAAACCAAGATAAGTAATCTGACATTTTAGCACACTCTCATTTAAATAATTTGATTTGGGAAATTTTTTCAAACTAAGAAAATTTAAACATTTTTAAACAATTTTTTAAACCCATTTCCATTCCTCTGCTTTCAAAGATACAAAGCACCACCTGCTGTGTGGAGTTATGGAGAAGGGAGGAGCAGGGATGGGGAAAGCCACACATTAATTGCTTGCTCCTTACCTTAAATTTTTGGATTTGTGCTTTGTGAGTTGCCTCTCTTGCCTTGGCCAATGAAGCATTTAGATCTTCAATTTCAGAACCAAGCTCCTCATTCTTTAAGCAAAGTAAAACGAACACTATGTAGAAAGAGTTATTTCCAAGGGATGGTAATTCAGTAATAGCTATACCCATCTCATTATCCATTCATCCAACTAGACAACACAAATACTTTAAAGAACAAAACCACCAAATACCTCATAATAAATCTTGGATAAATTCTTGTTCTTATACAACACTCACTAGATTCCCTATCATTCAAGTTAAACACTTGCCATTCTTCCACACCATCTGAGTTTCAGCTGATGTTGACTTCTCCTACTTTAGCCGTCTTTATGATGGCTCCACTTACTCAACAACATAAAATACTTCCCATACCTTTTAAGTGGAGCTCAGAACTGACAACAATCAGTGGGCAACTGAAAACATTTTTTTCCTCAAAGTTCTTAGGGGAGAAATTATGAGTTATGTATCTTTTTCCTCTCTCCCCCAGTCTAAGACCCAAAAATTCTGGATAAACAGAACTACTTACAGATGCAACAGCAATGATTAAGGACCCTTTAGAAGCCTCCTAATGGTTACAGTGAGATCAGTCAACTCCTGCCACACACATTCCCCTCCCAATGACAGTTCAACAAACCAGCAAGATGACAATCATCATACCTCTTTTTCCTTTGCTTTTAATGCAACAGTTAGCCCTTGAATGGTTTTATCCCTTTTCAAACCATTCTTCTTTTCAATAGCAAGCTCATTTTCTCTCTCTTGTAGCTCTTCTTGAAGTAACTAAATTAGATTATGTGAAAGTTGCATTAACTTCCCACTAAGAGATACAGTAGCTGCACATTAATAAGTACATTCTCTCAGAGTTCTTGTATCTTATTACTCAGATTACTAACATAAAATATAGTCCCAAAATGAAAGCTATCACCTTAAAGATGTGCCTGGAATATAGTATGAGAAGCCTAAACTCATGGGCTGGCCCCAAGTATCAGCTTCACTATTTATTTGATGAGCATGCCTACCAGCTTTACTGAAAACTGCTTCAAAACCAAGGTGAGCCTTCCTGTCATCTAGCATCAAAGATAATTCACCAGAGGACTTGCTTTGCTTCCTTTTGAGTCACAGCCTCTCTGTATCTATGAATGTATAGTAGAAGAGATTCCAACAGGCACCCTAAGTGCTCAAGGAAACAAAAAAAAAACCTGGAACTTACCTGGATTTTTTTTTCAAAGGAACTTCTCTCATTTTTAAGCTCCATTCTAATAGCCTATAAGGATGAAACCATTGTTACAATCAAGTAAATTCATTGTAAACACAAATGTAACTCATTAAGCATTAAAATGAAGGAAAATCAGATTTAAAACCTTGGAGGACAAGTCGAGGGTGAGGGACAGATGACCCTAACAACTTAGTATCCCCCTTTAGGCAGAAATAGATTGAGTCGGTTGCTTCTTGGAAGTCTCCAAATCTACCTGGGCACAGCATGAGTCTGTACAAATTAAAAACAAAGAAAAAAAACACCCACACGTTTTCTCCCCTGAGCCAGGACAACCCTACTTGCCAAGTGAATAAAAATGCATTTTTATGTGACATTTATCTATGTCAAAGAGATGCTTTTATCATGCAAGATTTTAATTAACACTTTTCCTTGGGGACGTTACAGAATTTGTTTTTAGAGATGATGACTTTAAAAAAGAGTTGTGCAAAAGTATTTGGATTTTTTTCTCTCCAATACTGCATCCCCAAAAAAATCACACAGTCTGTGCCCTCCTATGAAATGATTCAAGATGACCCTGTTGCCACCTTGACACAGAAACACTCTAATGAAAGCAGGGCAGTTTTTCCTGACACATTGATTTAGTTGCAAGAAGCCCCAGAACGGAAAACTTTTCATTCCACTGATCAGTTTGATCACAGAAGATTCTCCTGCCTGTTCCTGACATAAACAAGAAAGTGTGTAGGTACTGATCAATATTAAGTTCCAAAACAAAAGGAAAAAAAAAAAAAAATGTCAGAAGCATGACAGCTTCCACAATTACTGTCTTAACTCTGACAGCTTTAATTTATTGTTTGAATAATCAAGGAGAAAAAAATAGACAAGCCTGAAGACCTGTTCCTATATTTCAGCTTTCAGGATATCAGTCTGCCTGTTTAAACACCAAGTGAAATAAAAGACAGACTCTTAGCACATTTTGTAAGCTAAAGGCCAGACTTTCACTTTATTTCATGAGGTTTTTCATGCCTGCCTCCCTTACCACAACTTTTTCTCCAGACCATAACAGTAGAGGTACTTCCCAGAAATAAACTCTCAAGTCACATTAACTTCTCTACAAGTTATGTCATCTCTTGAGGGATCTATTAACATTGAGCATTTTTTAGATATAGTGTAGTAAAGCAATTGCACAGGATTGATAATACAGGCATAAAGTGAATTGGAAACATGACCCCTCAATGAATGAATGGTGAGCATGGATAATAAGGGTAAATATTGACCATGAAACCACAGCCTAACCAATGACTGTTAAGGAAATGGAGAAGGGAAGGAGGGAATAACTGTGGAGAAGAATATTTTTACAAATTGGCTTAAGTCACTCATACTGTCATGCACAAAACCTTTACAGTCCTACACCACATGAGATTTATAACATGACTGTTGAGTCAGGTTCCTCACCTCTATCTCACTATCTTTTTCATGCCTCAAAGCAATGGTAAGTTCTCTGATTTTTTCTGCTGGTAAGTTCCCATCATAAGATCCACTCTGAGATCTTTCCTCTTGAAGGTGTTGAATTACAGCTTCTTTACTTTTCAATGACAGATTCAGTTGCTCTATGAGTCTAAAATTATAAAATTTTTAATATTAATCTTGCATCTTCTACCACAAACTCTCCAGTCATTGCAGTAAATTTGCAGACAACCTTCCTAGCTCAAGAATCCAACCAATACTTGCAAAACTTGGGGAAGTACTTTCACAACCCCTTCTCCCTAGAGAGAAACCAGAAAAGGTGCCATAACTTTAAAGCAAGCAAACAGGTTGAGCTATCTGCACCATGCTCATTTCTATTTCCTTCCAGTACCATTTCAAATGCCAACACTTAAGCATCAATATTTTAGTTACATTGTCCTTTACAGTACACTCAAAAAGTTATCAAACTATTCCACCTCTTAGCACACACAACACTGCATCCTTACGTGCCACCACCAAGTGTCTCTCGAGCACCTAACTTCATCCACACGTGTGCCTCAGCTGGCTCTCATTCCACATTTGCAAAAGAAGAAAGTTAGTGCTGACTTCTTTGGTCAACACACATCTCGACACTTCCAGCACTCCCACTCATAAAAGCAACAATGCTTGAGTTTCCTGACAGCTGTAAGGGTTAGATGTGAAAACTTTCTGGTGTAAGATGCCAGCTGTGATTCTCTTAGTATTTTGTAGCCCAGAGGGTGAAAGAGTCATTTTAACATGATATGAATTCTAGATGCACTACTCCCAAATAAGTGTAAAGCACTGCACATGAATGTTTGATCCACTTCAAGAAGTCAAATATTCTTGTTTATCCATCAGCACTGTGTTTTTCTGGTCCTGTAAATACTTACACTGATCTACCAGCATGTAATTATAGAAGATTCTGCTAACACTGGATCACAAGAGGGCAGGAAGTAGAGAGGAGAGAGGGGAAAAAGAAAATAAAAAGACATTCATCATGCTCCACACAGCCTTCACTTCAGTGATCCAACTCTGACAATTTGTTTCCACACTTCAAGGACCATTTTCACACAAGCTGGCAGATGAAATACCTCTGAAAAGAACTGGTTTTAGAACTCCTTCCCAGCTCAAGTCACTCAGGAGAGCAACTGTGTTCATACAGAAGACAAACAGAGAAGGAAAGATGGGAAAGGAGGAAGATAACTTGAAAGTGAGGTTGTGCTTGCTGTCATGGCACATAAGGTGCAGCATCAAAACTTACTGGAACAGTTTCATAACTTTACGTCACTGTAGATTTCAGTTTTGCATTTTTCAGCCTACATGCTTTTACAAAAACTGTCTGGAAAACCCCACAAACCTTGCTTTGGTCCTACAGTAATACAAACACATGAACAGAAAGCCCCAGGCCAACAAGTTTCTGTTACCTGGGCTGACCAATTATGCAGCTGCTCACAGAGCAGTTACCTGCAGGGTTCAGTCACAGGCACAAAGAGATACTCCAAAGTATAAGGAATCATAACAGTGTTTTGACCTCCACTCTGGGCTCACATCCCCAGACTAAGCAAGCTTTACTGCAAGGCTTGCCAGGCACATATTTCACCTTAATAATCTAAAAAAAAAAAATCCTCCAAATTATTGCAATTTGAGTTTGTAAGTTTTCCTCACCTGAAGTAATTAACAACTCACACACCCTTCCAACTACCTGCCAAACACAGGATGCTTCTCTATCCATGAGATTTACCAACCTCACATAAATCAGGCTGAAGAGTACATAAATGCCACAGAAACAAGTGAACACAAATGGTAGAGATGAATTCTACTCAGCAATGGTTCAAGAAAGCAGCAAGCAAGAGGTAAGCCAGCAGTTACACAGATGCTTTCAAGAAGGACGTGCTGATGTCACATGCATACTGATCCCTTTACACTTGCAGACAACTTTTAAAGATGATTTTGCTGTCGTGCAGGATGTAAACTGGTTGCTGTGCTGCTGCTTGTTTAATAGCTGAGGAGATAAGAGCCAGTAACACTCATTTACCCGAGGGCAGGATCAAACGATTCAAACCCGTATCCATTTCAGCTCCTCACACTTTCACAGGAAAGCATCCCAGCAGCTCCAAACATCCCCAGCAAGAGTTCTGACCTGTCTCTCTCAGCTCCTGGCATCATACCCACGTCCTTCACAGGGGCATTCATAATTGAAGAAAGCTTCTGCTCAGCAGCTATTCTCAGAGCTTTCTCCTTCTCTGACATTGCAATGGCTTTTCCCTCATCTTCCTGGGCAGCTTTAAGATCCTGTAATTAAAACACACAATCCCCATGCCTATAAGAACAAAATTAACAGAATTCCTCACATGTTGAAGTTTCCTCCTGCAAACATATGTTGGTATCTTTAATTTAGCAACTTCTAGGAAGTAGCTCAGGCACTTTGCAAACACTTCTGAACTCTGTGTCTGCATTTTCAAGATTAATCCATTTTCTGTAGTACATCAGGAAGGGAAGTATATTTTAAAAAATAAGATAAATACCCTAACTGATAACAGAATGGGAAACAAAAGTGCCCCTATGATATGGCTTTAGATTTAGATTTAGTTATTATAATTTGTTTTTTTTCCCTACTGTCCTACCACTATCATAATAAACAGTTATACTTAAAAAAAGCCCTTTTTTATTTTAAAATAAATTTAATCAGAGATTAAATGAATAGTCACAGGCTTGCTGCAGCTATTTGGAACTCTTCCCAACATCATTTATAATATTTTGCAAGAACTCATGAAGTATGAACCAGACATTTTTCTCTTGAACAGTAATGGAAACAGAGATAACACCCAGAGATAACAGTCAGCTCCCTCTAGGAGAGGAAGTTGTGTCTCCCCAGCTCATGGGGATGGGGAACACCAAAAAACCCACACATCATTCACTACATAAAATTTGTTTCAGATCTTCATTTTTACATTGTAACCTTCCCTGGACTACTCGACTGAATTTTGCTTTCTGTGAAATAAAAGCCTCCTTGTAGCCTATCCAGTAATTCCCCTCTGTCCTTCAAGTCTATACTAAAAAGCTTATCTCTTTGGGGGAGGGGAAGGTCCCTCACCATTGGATTTCACCACCCCACTCAGCTCCTGAAAAGCTGTTCTGCCAGCATTCATCCTTCAATAAAAAACTGAAGGGAATCAGTCTTTCTTAGCATTACTTGGATCTCTGTAATTATGCAGAGCTACAAGAGCAAGTGGCTAACACCACTCTGCAGTGTTTACATTTGTAAGCACAATAAAACAATGTCAACAAGATCTCAGGCCACAGAAAGCACCATATCACCATGAGATGAGTATTTACCCTTCCCCCTGTCAGATCTGGGAAACATCAGCCTGACTGGCTGTTCTGGTACACATTAAGCAATTTAAGAACTTCTTTACCTGTCCAATAACAAAGAATGTTTTGAAAAACCCCAATTCCACTAAATGGAAGAAAAGGTTGTGGAGATTCCCCCCTCCTCCCTGAAGGAGCTCTCTGCTTTATGAATACTGCTAAATCATTCTGACAGAAAATACCATCAGGAGATTGCTAGCAACACCTTCTGTGACCAATTCATTCTTTAGGGATGGGAAAGCAAATACTGGAACATACCCACTGGTGCCATTTCTCTTTACTTACAGAAAGAGCACCAACACCTCACCCCCTCACAAACACAGCTACAAGCCCTACACCCCCAGATAAGTGTACACAGGCAATGATGCAAAACAATCAAGAGCCAATTTATTTCCAGAACCTGCCACAAGCATTTCCAGCACAGGCCATTCAATATCAAATTTGCTCTTTACAAGAACTTCTCCTTGCTTCTGAGGAAGCATGTCATCCATACAAAGATTTTTTTTTTTTTTAACATTGTTTACACTACACAAAGAGGAAAATGTGAAGCAATTCCCCTGTAAAGATATCAGCAATGGCTCAACAATAAATAAAGGAATAAACTGTCTCAACCAGACAGCAAGGAATTTAAAAAAGACATTGTTAAGAATAACCCTGTGGAACAGGAGAACATTATGTAAAAAGGTGATACAGTGACAGCAGAAGCCAACACTACTTGGCAGATAAAGATCCACCTAAGGCATGCAGGCAGAACAGAGGGAAGTCCCCACTGCTCACCCCCCCAGAAGCTGCCATAAGTAGGTGGCCTCTCTCAGCCTGTAATGAACACACAAGAGTGGAGATGTACAAAGTCACAGAACCTCAGCTCTGCTATACTGAGGCCCCTTATAAAGATGGGAAATGACAGCAGTGCTTACAGAGTGCTTTCAGCTATTTATGAAGCTGAGACCTTAGCAGTTAAGTGTTCAAAATCCAGCCCCTCTTCCTCTGAACAGAAGCTGTAGTTCTGAAAATGTGGCCTACTCACACTGGAATTCAGGAACTAAAGGTCTGTGCTGAAGGTACCTAAATACCACCACCAAGTCCAAATTTCCTAAGAAGCACTTCCTTCAAATTTGATATTTCAAGAGCAGCCAAAAATCACCCTCCCTTTCCTTTGGTGTGGTTTTTTTGTTTTGTTTTGTTTTTTTGGGTTTGTTGTTGTTGTTCTGGTTTGTTTTGGGGGGGTTTTTTTGTTTTTTGGTTTTTTTTTTTTTGTTGTTTGAGGGGGGGAATTTTCATTTGTTTGGGTTGTTTTTTTGTTTTGTTGGGTTGATTGTTTTTGTCTTTCCTTCTTTCCCCCATGGTTTTACAATAGCTGCTTTTTCAAGAAAGCTGGAACAATTTTGAAAATATAGGTAAGATCACAGTATCAAATCAGACAATAGTACAAAGCCTAACTAAATTCTAACTGAATTCTAATTCCTTCAGTTATGGCCACTCACCTCCTCCAAAACCTTTATTCTGCTGGTCAGCATTTCTTCCATTTCTTGCATCTTCTTTTGTGCCTCTTCTTTCACACGCTGGATTTCAGCCTCACCGCCCTGGGCCAAGCTTTCAACTGCCTTACTGAAAGACCATAACAGACAGAAATCCCACTGCAGATCAAAATGGGCAACACTGGCAGTGCAAGTGGTGGGTGGATTATGCACAAGCAAACATCCTCCCCTTTATCTGTACCTCCTTATCACTTTAAGGTTAAATACAAACATCTACACGGTATCACTGCTACCTGGAGAGACCAAACAAGCTTCTCTGATCCTCAGGATCTACTGGAAACCAGGCCTCTCTGAACTACTGAAGAACAGTAACAGAGGGAGAAATGCAGCAGTACTTACGAGGCTTTGATGAGCAGTTTCTCTCTCTCCTGCAGATCACGCTTCAGACTTTCTATCTCAACTTTCAGCTCAATGTTCTAGGAGAAAAGAATGAAAGCATCTGGAGAGAATTCATATGTCACTCCACCCAAAATTTATGGGCAATGTGTTGACCATTTTTTGCTTGGACCAGCAAACATAAGGTATTACTGGGCTATGAACAGCACAGAGACATTTTAGGGGTTTAAGGGCATCTTTTGCAAGGTTCAAGACTTTCAGAAATTTCAAAGGGCATAAAGAATGCTTCCTACCATCTGCAACTTCAAATAACAAGGATGCAAGATGCACCACCCCACCCAAATCCTTCTTCCAGCTTAAAAAGATACCACTTTCTTCTATAAACTGACACAGGAATCAAATAGATTTCCCAAATCCTGCACAAATACACATTCTTTCAATTTAGAGCAATAAAACTAGAAGCTATACACAACCCTAACACAACTTCATCTACACACTTCAAAGGAAGCAGCTTAGAGCTGGAGTGCTCAACCTCCAAGTAGTTGTACTGACACCTGATAACCCCAGGAATGAACAGAGGGGTCAACTGAAGAGAACTGCCCAATAGCAGAAAGCCAAATAACCACATTTCAAGTTCAGGAGAAGTCTCCTGCTGCTGCTCCCTATTCAGTGTATGATGTTAGTAGTACAATTACAAAAGATTCATCACCACTTACTAAAAATGTAACACCTCTTAAGTCTGTCCTGTAACTATGGACACTGACATATTTGAAACTCATTCTTCCACACTTTAGAACAGTCATTTTAATTTAGTTATTACTGAAAAGGATAAAGCCAGAATAAAATAATCTTACCAAAGTTTCCAACAATATAAGACTTGAAAATTACATAAAACAGGCAACCTCCCCACAGAACAAACCCTTCAGAAAGCTGTATAGTCCTACTAAATTATTCCAAATACATACAATTTTGTAGATTTCTTCAGTGGCACCATCAAATTTCTGCTGCATTCTCTCCTCCAGGAAGTATATACGAAGCTTCAGGTTGAAGTTTTCTTTTTTGAGATCAGTGATTTGCTGTGAAATAAGCGAGAAAAGGAGGAAATTATGTCACGTGTTTCAAACAAAGTAAAATAAAGAGTGAAAACTACTGTCAGTTGGTTTTGCACTCCTCAGTGCAAGACTAGAACTCAACCCACTGGACACAGTTAAACATGCACATGTGTAGGTGATACGTGTATTCAAAATGTCTAGTGTCAATAACAGCACTTGGCACCCAAGTTAGAAGGAAACATCCTTCCAAGGCAGTTCACCTGGGCAGCTGCAGATACCCCAAGCCCTTCAACAGCCTTCTGTCTTCTGCACCTTCAGCACATCTCACAGAACACTTTTCTCTCCCACTGCTCCACCCCAGCTGTAATATTTTATTTTCCCCCATCTGGATTCCACACCTGAACAAGAAATTATCCCACTCCAGCCTACCCCTTTGGAACCTCCTGGGGTTTGTTTTTCCATTCTGTTTTCATTTTAACAGAAACAGGCACACTGGTGCAAACAAACTTCATTTGTGTAAGATATTATCATTTAGCTTGTGGTTTTTAGCCCTGCAGAACTCTGAGACACTAACACTTAAGCAAATAGTTATAAAATAGTATTGTTTAAAAATTTGTAATACATGTTGTGCAGATAGTGCTCTTTATGTTCCTGCCTTAAGTATTAAAACATTGTCTGACCTTACACCAAAAGAATCCGAGAGGTTTTTTTAAATGTAAAAATATTAAGTAGCTCTTCCCTCTGTAAAACAGGATTTGAACAAAATATAAGACATGATGTTGAAGCACAAGTATTTTCTTCATAAAGCTTGGGACTATAGCCTTATTCATGGGAAGAAAAGCCACAAGCACACAAGGCACTCGAGCCCAATCAGACATCAATAAAACCTTTATCCATTCCCATATTTCTACTGCAATTCTTCAGGAAAAAAAAAGTTGCTTATGATTTTTAACCTTCCTAGTAGAAGCAGGAAGATAACTGATGGTGTCATTAAAGAAAGGAGTCTCCCTCTAAATTTTTTTTAAGAGACTAAGCATAAAACATTATTCAAATAAGTCTCATGTCCCCTGCCAGATGCTTTCAGCAAAAGGAAATCCAATATGTTACAGAGCTACTAATAAAATATTTATGTAGGCTTTTCAGAACAGCAAGTACCACTTGTAAAAATTATTAGCAATACAATCCTTAAAATATTTGGCTTGTGAAACCTAACATTATTTTCTGTAACTGCACTCAGAACCTGCATCTGCAAACAATTCTCCAGCTTAATAATCTCTGCCCAGCAAGATGTCTCCTCATTATTCACACAAGTAAATATCATCCAAGCAACTGAAAATATGCCTGACTACATAAACTTTGTGGCCCATTTGCACATCCTGTCCTCAGAAGGAGTGGCAATACATCTATTCAACTTTATCTTTGTTTCCCTATAATTCCTATCAGATGATTACAAATAGTAGTAGATATAAACTTGAACTATGCAAGCTGTAACTGCTGAAAGCATGATACCTACTGAACATAATGGGGTATCTGAGTAACCAGAATGACTCTTCTGGAACATTTAAATAGATGGAAGCATGAAGACAATGCAAATTTACTTCAAGTCACAGAGCCCAGTGCAGAATATTGCTCAAAACTGAAATCCTTATTCAGAGAAAGCAAAGAAATTAAAGGTTTAAGTGAAACAAGGCAGCAGAACTGTGCTAGATACTGCATGTCTTGCTGGCACGTTCAGTACCATGTCTTCAGTGAGAACAAACCTCACAGTGTTTTGTTTCTGGCTTGTGTTTCTTTTTTTTAAGCTATCAGTAGATCACTCCTAACAACCTCTGTTCGTTCCAAAAAAGTCCAAGTGCCAAAGACACTCTGAAATTGCATCAGTTGAACTTCCAGTCAGACTTCACACATTCAACACATTTCCCAGTCAAAAGGAAAAGACAGTTTCAAAAGAACCTTAATTCTACTGATGTATTTCAGTGGCAACAGGGTTGAAGCAAAGAGCTTGAGGGTACCATTTTCAAAAGGCAAACAAATCAGACTATGCAATTGTAAACCAAGAAGTGAAACAAATGTTGTCTCTGACATTCAGCTTCTCAGAGGAACCTTAATTGAGGCAGATTACAATTAAAAAGTTATAGCTTAATAAAAGATAATGTGTAAGATGTGAACAAATTCACAATAGGGGATTTTAACAGCAATCCTCTCCACTTATTGCATTTAAAAACTCACTCTTAATTCCTTTATACATTTTGATTTCTGTATTTAAAAAAGGAATGAAAGAAGAGAAATAAGAGACACTTACAGAAAAAGACAGGGTGATGCAGCACACTCTGCACAGCATACTGCACACCACAGACAGTGTGGGAGCAAATACCACTTGCCTACCTCAGTTCAGCTCCTTCCCAAGTGTGTGTACAGCCACCTTTGTGCCAAGTGGCATCTGTCAGCAGGGGCTGTGGTTTCAGTGCCACACAGCTCCTGCCAGCAGAGGCCCTTTTACACGACAGCAAAACTCAGGCACTACGTGGGTTTGGGGAGATAAGGAAAAAACAGAAATATTATTACTTACTTCCCTAACTTGATACCAATCACCCTTTCTATTCACAAACATCTAATAAGCCATGATGAGGTGCTCAATTAGAGATGCCTTTCACTTTGTCCCTGTAATCACATTTTCTATCACAAGGTGGCTCCCCCCCCATATGGCAAGAAAGTGGGACACACCATAAATACTGCAAAAATCTGCACCTCTAATGCCACCTGGCTCAGGTCTAAGTATAAAAGGATCTTTCCTACATGGATCCACCATCTAGCCCATTCAAGGGTCATTACATCCCTCCTGTTCTCTCCAAGCTGCAAGGCCAGGAGCCCACTCATTCCACTGCTTCCTTCTCATATCCTGTATAAACAAACACAGCCTCAAAGATCAACAAATTCAGGCAGTAATACATACACACATCAGGAACTTTATCTGGAGTTATCAGGAACTTTGTTTTAAAGTAGGCTAAAACAGCCTTAAAGATGTCAGTGAAAAAATGCATCTAAGCTCAGCTACTATTGGATGCTTGGTAAATAGGGAGCATCTTCTTTCTGCATCCTTTTACTTTCTCAAGTTCACACTTCAGCAACTGTAAAGACTCAAAACCAGAAGTTACAAAAACATCTCTGCTTTAAAGGGTGTTTGATGGGTTCTTCTTCCTTCACTTCAAGGGGTTTTTGAGCTTCATTATACTGTCAGTATCCAAAAAAGCCCATGAGGAGTTTTACAGCTCAGTTCATACCAGGAAGCTGGAGATCTGTGTGGAGACCCTTTCTCCTCCACATCACACAAAAACCAACTGATTTTTCCTCCCTTCTACAACTTTTTCCCCTGTGCAAATGAATACTGAAACTAATAAAGCAGTTGCAGAATGTATATTCTAGACTGAAGTCTTTGGCACACACCACAGTAAAAGATTTTGAGCACACACTAATGCCAAGGCAGCAACTTTCTACCCCAGTCAATAGACAAACACAAAAGATAAAGTGAAATAGATACAGACTGTAAAAACATCCTTCACCAAGGCTTTCCAAAACTTCCAAATTCTGAGCAAAGAGGATAGCTTCCTCCTCAGAGGGACAGGCAGCCACAAGAAGCAGAGTTCAGAAAAAGGCTCATTTCAAAGACAACAGCACAAAAGGTAGCAGCAGCTACAGAAACACAGGAAAACCCACCAGCACTGCAGCACACCCTGAACACAGCAAGCCACAGCCTTTATCTGCAGCAGGTATCTCAGAGGCTTCTGATGGCTCTTCCCTCTACAGTTTCTCCATGCAATCATAAAAGTTTTAAATTCTCCATCTCAAATTCTTTACAGGGGAGCTGTCCTACAACACAGATACACTCCAACCACACCATCATTCAGAGGTAGAAACAATTGGCTTATTCAATCTATCATTAGATCCAATGTTTTCCTTTATATTCTAATCTACAGAACTGTCACAATGATTCCAGACCTTTACAACAAACATTCCAAGCACACTTGCATATAACCATGAAGGTAAAAAGCATTATGCAGCAGTTGATAAAGAGCCAAATCCTGTACTAGTTGAAATAAAAATAAACTTGATGCTTCCCTGAAACTAATGAGTTGCAGACTTGCAAATCAAGTTCTTATGTTCTGGTGACTGCATGAACTTTTGAGCAGAGGGTGCCAACTTTTTTTTCACAACTTAAAAGCAGCAGTTGTCTAGTCTCAACAATAAATTTTTGCCTCTTTTTTTTGAAAGCAATACCCAAGAAATGGAGGCTCAAAGCACAGAAAGCCAGCTGGTCACACCTCCAACAGGTCTGCATTGACACTAACTGAGAACCTGACCCAGAGTCAATGCTTCATACATCAAGTCAGAAATATCTTGGCCACAAATCTGTCACTGAGTCACATTAAAAATCTGCTTACATTTTCATAGTCCTTCATGGTCCGAGCCCTTGTTGGTGAGACTGTATCTTCTGCCACATCTGGTAACACTATTTAAGAAGACAGAACAAGTTCAGACAGCAGAATCTCCAAAGCAGGCTTTGTTTTGGAAACAAAGGTCTACACTAATCTAAACATAATAAAAATATATCACCTTTTGCAAAGTGAGGGAGGCTGGGTTTTGCCCCTTGTTTACGTTACACATTAGTGCTACTAAGTGTTTAGTATCTAGATCCTGTTCTGAACACAGCCAGTAAGTTGTCTGTCACTCAGGCTCCCAGATTCCAACATCAACCATTTAAACCATGATGCACACTGAAATTAAGCTATGTGAGGTGCAACAAGTCCTCAGAGCAACTACAGAGGACTCCCATATTAGAATTAACTCCTATTCAACTATTGGAAAGGAGTTCAAATCTTACATTACCTGCTGCTCTCAGCACAGGCCTCCAGCTCAGACTCAGGGAAACCACAGGCAGAGGAAATGGTTATTATCTATGCTCCTGAATTAACATGCACTTAAACTTCTTTGTGCACATATATCCTCTAACAGCCACAACTAACAGGACTGCATAATTAATTTCCACTCAAATCTGTGAGAGCAGACCTTTATTCAGAATGATACTGTATAAAACACATAGCACTTAGATAACCCTAAATATAAAGAACGGGTAGCTGAAAACTCACCCTAACTCTCATGTTAACTATAAGAAAATATTTCATTTAAGTTACTTCCAAAATTTTTATGCAAAGAGCCATCTTGAAAATAACCCAAAGAACTCCAGCCAGGGGTTTTGAAAACTTGACATTCTAATTCATTTCACAAGAGAGCTTTCCAAGAGCTCCTGCAGAATACAGAAACATCACTTTGCAGTGTGGGAATGTTTCTTGTATTTGCTTCCTTTTGCAAGGAAATAGATCTTCCTGGCAAACCATCTAATTTGCCTTGAGTGCCCATTACCTGCTCCATCTATACAGTGAAGCTAGCCCAGTTACATTGCTGGACACATGCATGCATAAAGAGAAATCAAAAACATGCACCTCAAATTTACATACCAGAACATGGAACCGTTAACAACACAACGGGAAAGTTTCAAAAACAGCACTATTAAACCTTTTTACTCTAAAAATACGTGTTTCAAGCAAGGCTCCCACACCTGAAGATGAACACAGTTACACAGTCATCATATAGAGGAATACATTGAAGTACAGCTTCTGTGGGAACTAGACAGGAACGATGCTTAGTGCACTAACAGATAGAAGTGAAGCTACTGAATCTAGATGAGGTCTTTAGGCAGGAAGTAACTCGGGACAGCCGAGCTGGAACTGGAACCCTTAACGATAGGCAGCATGCAACTTCCCTAAAACTAAGGGGAACCCGAAAGGGCAGCACAGCCTCGCTGGGTGCCCGGAGCGCTTGGAACACACGGTGCCGCTGATCATCCCACGCGAGGGCCCCGGGCGAGGCAGCCGACGGCACTTACCGGCGGGAGAGACACCGCTCAGGGCTGTGCCCCCGGGGCGCGATCCGGCCTCAC